AGCAAGAGTTGGCAGTTATGGGGGACTTCTGTTATCCTGATATCTGCTAGGAAACTAGCTCTGCTATGCATAAACTGTCCAACATATTCCTGGTGTGCCTTGCAGATAATTTCTTCTTTCAAAAGTTGGAGGAATCAATAGGGATCAGCAATCCTGGACTTGATCCTAACCAATAGGGAGGAGTTGGTCACAGATTATTGTCTGCAAGTATCTTAATGGCAAGGCACTGATTAGTAGGAGCTAGCATGGGTTTTTCAAGAACAAATCTTGCCAAACTAACATTTTGTTTGATTGAGCCACTAGTTTAGTAGATGGTGGAAATGTGAATGTAATTTAACTGGATTTCAGAAAAGCATTTTATAAGGTCCCCCAGGGTTTTTGTTATGACATATGGAATATTACTGATGAAATATGGAATAGATGGAAACATCATCAGATGGCAACATAATTGATTGGAAAAAGTTGCCATCAGTGACTGTGCTTCAAACTGGAAGGATGTCTCAAGTGGAGTGCCATAAGATTTTGTCCTGGGGCCAACACTCTTCAGTATTTTCATCAGTGGTTTAGATGACGGGATGGAAGGAATCCTTATCATATTTACAGATGATATAAAAATGGGAGGGGTCGGTCACACATTAGAAGATAAGAACAGAATTCAAAAGGCCCTTAATAAACTAGAAAATTGGGTTGAAATTTAAAATGAAATTCAACCAAGACAAATGCAAAATTGTACATTTGGGTCACAAAAACCAGATGCACAGATAGAGAATGGGGGAATAGTCAGTCTTGGATCCCATGTTGAGAGAAAGGCAGGATATAAATTAAAATTCATTGATTAACCGATTAGTTTCTGGGGTGGGAAATATGCTACTCTCCAGATGTTGTTGAAGTGCAGCTCCCAGCAGTCTTAGCCAGCATAGCTAATGGTGAGGAATGTTGGGAGATGCAATCGACCCACACAATTTCCACCACTCGAGTGTGTGTGTGTGTCTGCCTTCAAGTCGCCTGTTGACTTATGGTGACCCTATGAATTTCATAGCATTTTCTTAGTCAAGAAATACTCAGAGGTGGTTTTGCCAGTTCCTTCCTCTGAAATATAGCCAACAGAACCAGGTATTCATTGTATTGTAACCAAAAAATGACTCCAATCCATCAGAGGTTTTAAAAGTCTGGTAATTTGCCATCTGCAATAGCTGCAATAGATGCCATGCTAGTAGCCACTAGGTGTCCTTACAGCTCCAGCTGTGAGATGAAATGGCTCCCTACATGTATGCTGGTCCATCCTTTGCTAATGAAGAAAGAAGCCTGTATTTGGCAATAGTCCTGCTTGACCCTGCACAGACAAAACCTTAATGTATTGTGAGCATGGAGGGCAATTTTCCATTTTCCAATCCACTTCATTACCTCACTCGCTTCTGCATTTGCAGGCCAACCGAGGCCTGCTGCTTCAGTCATGCAAACGGAACAAAGTTGAAACCAGAAGGGTGATACACAAGGGAAGACAACTTAATAATAATATAGACTCTGGCAGGTGGAATTGCAAATGTTAAACACGTCTGCTTGGAATCAAAACGGTTTCATTTCCTTTCACTGAGACTTTTACACCTCTAACTCTTACTTTATGGCAGCCAAAGTATGGAGTCTTTGCAAACCTGATCTCTGCATTCCGCTGAACAAAATACTACGCCTTCCCTTCTGAACTGTATCATTTGAAGTTGATGGTGAGAGGGTTCAGTGGCATATGAATATTTTCTCAGTAGAAAGCCTGGGAGATGTTGTTTGGCTTCCTCGTGCTATTTTTTGGACTGTTATTTCCTACCAGGTTACAGGACTGCATTAAAAGTAAAGCCACACCTGGTACAGTTAGCCCTTGGTATCCTCTGGGGTTTGGTTCCAGGACACCTCCATAGATGCCAAAATCTGTAGATGCACAGGTCCCTTTATTATATACAGTGGCACAGTAAAATTGTGTCCCTTATATAAATGGCAAAATCAGTTTGCTTCTTGGAATTTTTGTCTCTGTGTATGGAATATTTTCAGTCCATGGATACAGAATCCATGGATACGGAGGGCCGACTGTACAATTGGTCTTGCGAGATCCAGACCTGCCAAGCATCCAGCCTTCCTTATTTGCCTTTAACTTTTCTCTTCTTGACTTATGCTATTACTTATTTTAAAATTTCATTTATATGCTGCCTTTCTCCCTCCGCGTATGTGAAGTGATTGTTTCGGGTTCATGTGCATCCGCTAATATCCAGGTGACACCAAGGTAAGCAGAGGTGTGCATGGAGGACTGTTACGCATGCGGCAGTGCATTAAAGTGCAAAAAGCAGACAGTGCATTGCCTCTGTCCATTGCCATTGTGTATTGCAGTTGTCAGCCATGTGTATTGATAACTGATGCACATATATGGCATTGCGTGAGTATTTACTATAGGGCTACGTAGTGCGACTCCACTGGTGGATATTTACTCTGAAACAACCTAGGATCCTTTATTGGGAGTACCAGTGAGTATGTAGCATGAAATCAAGCAGTGTGTTGTCTGAAGGCCTCTTCGGGCCACTGAGCAAATCTTTTTGGAACAGCAACAACCACACCTTTCAAATAAAATCAGGTGGCCAGTTCATACTGATTCATTTCCTACCCCAGTTATATTCTCAGGAGGAAATATGTTCAGAACAGAGCAGAGCTTGATAGCAGGACAATGCAGGGCATTCACGAATCCTACTGATGAATGCCAACTAGAATAGACCTGTTTAATCTATTGTTGGGTGGTTATTTATTTGATTTGATTTATACTGAATCTCTCTCAAAATAGTACTTGAGTGTAAGTCAACCAATAAGTAGATCTCATACATTCTAGCCTAAATCCTATAGTTAGTTCTGATTAGAGGAAGTCCATTGAAGCAATTGCATTTGCTTGTGTGCTGATTCAACCACTGATTCAATGGGTTTACTCTATGGGAGGTAACCAACAGGATTCTAGGCTCTATCGGTTTAGTCTTGTCTAAGAATAGCATTCAGAGCTACATCCGCACTGGAGATTGAAACTGATGATATGGTCATGCTAAGGAACTGTGGTTCTATGTAGTCTAGGTCAATGTGGACTTTGTGACCTTGGATAGAGCGGCCAGAATCCACAACAGTTGTTCTCTGGAGATTAGGATGGCCCCATTTTTTACCCTACAGAGGACACGCTTCTGTTTCTTTTGTTTGAGGGTCCATGCCTTAGGGGTAGATACAAATCTAGTTTAAAGAAAGTCACAAGTAGGGAGAGAAGCAGGAGTGGAACATGCTCATCATATGAACCTCCAGATGTTGGTCTCCAATACCCAGCATTCCTCAGCAATGGCTATGTTGTTAAGGGCAGCTGGGAATTGTAATCCCAGGCTACAGTTCATAGCTTTTCCCTACAAGCTGGGGTGGGAATTATGTGGCCCTTCAGATATTGTTGGATTGCAAGTCCCAGCTGTCTTTGCCAGTCAATGGTGAGATGTTGGCCATCCAACATCTGTAGGGCCGCATGGTTCCCACCTCTACTCCACAGAGATGTAGTTCTATTTAATGCTATTAAAAATATGAGCCAATATGGTGCGTGGGCTTAAGAGTGTGACTAGAAGAACCGCTGGGGACCAGGATTCAAATCCCCGCTGATCCAGGGGAACCAACTGGGTGAGCTTGGGCAAGTCACACACTCTCAGCCTCAGAGAAAGGCAATGGTAAACCTCTGAACAGATCTTGCCAAGGAAGTCCTACAACAGGATCACTGTAAGTTGGAGCCAACTTGAAAGCATATACAAACAACAAATGGTTGCTAAAGTTGGAAAATGCGTATTGAAATTTGGAACCATTTAAAAGAAAAAGCTTGTGCAATGTTTCAGAAACAACAAAATGTGAAATTAGCCACTCTTTGGAGAAAGAGGTTGAAACAAGGATCAGTTATGCAACCCCATAAAAAAAACCTGTTAAAAACCTTTAAAAGGTTAACACACATGAGTAAAGACATGTTCTTCCAGTTTGCAGTTTTATTATGAAAGCTTGCAAGAACCTTCTTGTTCCCTGCCAGACCTGTGAGAAAAGAAACATATTGCTAAGTGGTAATTATTTTTCACACCAGTTCTTTTTTTTTTTGGGGGGGGGGAAAGATCTATTACAAAGTTAGGTAAACAGAAATCTGTGTTTTATAGAATGGCCTGAAATACCAGCATTAGCAATATAGCAATTAACGGACTTTCGAGAACCACTTGAGCAAGCTAATTGAAAATACACACAGGAAGAAAGTGTCAAAGAAAACTAAAATTAGTCTTCCACCACAATGCTTTCTTTGTACAGCCCTGAACACCTGGCATGCTTAAAGTGGTTCATGGAGTCTGTTAAGATATGATCAGTCTCATATCTAGCTAACAAGGCTTGCCTGCAGAGTTTTTAGCCAAACTTCCCCGACTTTCTAATTCATATATGGGAACAGGAGGGAAAAAGTAGTTTGAGATCCTGCATGGGATTGTAGTTACAATGTTATAGCTATGCTCTGTCTCCCAATCCAATGCCCTAAAACTTACCTTAAAAGCCAGGCACCCATACTGAATGAAGGAGCTCTGTGGTGGCAAAGTGCTGAAGGGTGACACATCCATTCCTCTCCTACAGCAAACAGCAGAAGTAGGGCTCCCATGGTGTCCTGTTGCAATGTCTCATTGCACTACATCTTGCTGGCAGGAGGATGATGGGCATGTCATCCTTCCCTGGCCCTGCATACCAGCCCTGAAGAATTCTGTCACTTGCTACAGCTGCCTGGCTTTTAAGGTGGATTTTAGGGACATTTGCAGTCATAGCAATGGAGTTGTTGTCGTTGTGTGCCTTCAGGTCATTCCCGACTTATGGCAACCCTAAGGCGAAGCTATGATGGGGTTTTGTTGGCAAGATTTGTTCAGAGGAGGTTTGCCATTGCCTTCCCCTGAGGCTGAGAGCATGTGACTTGCCCAAAGTCACCCAGTGGGTTTCATGGCCAAGCTGGGAATTGAACCCTGGTCTCCAGAGTGGTCGTCCAACGCTCGAACCACTGTGCCACGCTGGGTCTCAGCCATGATTGTAAATATGAACACAAAACAGTTATAAGTTTATCTTCACCTAAGTGTATTATGCAAATTGCTGTGGATTTTCTCAAATTCCCGTTGATGCTTGATCGTCTCCACTTTCCCATGCAAATTAGCATCTATTCACCCTCCTTCTGCCAAAAATGCGCAGCCATGTGAAGCGGACAGATGGCCTTACGTTCAATAATGTACATACATCCTTGTGGATGCTCTGGTAAAAACTGTGATTCCTTTTTCTGAGAAGTTTGAAGGGGGAGTCCCCCTCCCACTGCAAAAAGCTCGAAATCATCCCAGTTGCATATGGAGGGATCACATTCTGTTTGAATAGAATGAGGAGTGTTTTAATCGTGTAGACAAGCCCTAGGTCTAGCTTAAGACAGAGTAACTGCCACACAGGATGCCAGTCCAAGTGTTGCCTTTATGTTTTTCAGAAAAGGTCAGCTGGGAAAGCCCTTTCCTTATTGGAAAACTTCTGCATTGCAGATGCCTAATAAGAAATCCTAAGGGAGACTTCCTCAATCTAGTGCTTTCAGGTGTTTTGGAAGCAGTAATTCTGGCTGAGTATGATGGGAATTGCAGTCCAAACACATCTGGAGGGTGCCATGCTTAGGAAGGCTGCTGTAGTGTGTCAGCTTTATTCTCCTGTGTATGAATGATGGTGTAAGCATATGACATATACTCTTTTTGATAGATGAAATGGCACTTTAGACAAGTCTGTTTCGGATTATGTACGAATATATGGCCAATATTCTGCATCAGCATGGCATGACATTAATCTCTGCAAAAGGAGTTACACATTAAGCTGAGATGCTACATCTTGCTTGTGTAGTGTAAATTCACACTCATTTAGTTAAGCGGTGGTTGTGCTACACCATCTTGAAAACCAATATGGTGCAACTTATATCAGTGAATGTGTGCACTTTCTCCCCAGTTGTGCAATGGGAAATGTGTAGTGGCTGTTTAAAATCCTAGTGAATCAAGTGGCACATTAAAGCCACTGATGAATACTTTACACCATGGCCTGAAAAGTACCATCACATGTATAAGGGAACTTACTTAGAAGTGTGAGTAAAACACCAACAGGGTGTTACACAACCCTTATGCTGAAATGAACGCAGAACCACATGTGCATCAGCATGCACAATGGTGTCATATGTACAACTCTGCTTCTGCAAATTTGAACTAAACGCAGACATTTCCAGCTACCCCCCCATAGGAAAACTTACGCATATATAAAACACTACCAGGATGCAGGCCAATATTTACTGGAGTGACTCAGAAAACAAAAATTGGGGTTAGATATTCAAGTCTATAATCTTCTAGTGTGTCAGGATTCTGCCAGATCCTGTCGTAAATAGTGGTTTGCTGTTGTTTTGATTGTGGTTAACCCTAACCCTCACCCTGGTTAACCCTAACCCTCACCCTGCCCACACAGGTATTGTATATAATCTATAAAAGTACATTTAGATATGTTAAAAGTAATAGCCACTGCACCTGATATATAATTGAAACTTGGTAGTGTAGCTTATGGGAGCTGTAGTGTTTGTTTGGGGGCACGGGGGGAATAATTGCCTGGCTAGAGAATGCACAAATATATGTAGGAGGATAGTGGTACTAGATTCCATCAAAGCCAGTCTCATGGGAAACCTGTAAGGGCCTAAAGTGAAAGTATATGAGAGAGATGGATAATCCAAGAAGGGTGCAAGTGTCTTGGTTTATGAACAAATCAAGATAAAGCCCGTGAATTTAAAGGGCAAGGCATTGCTTATTCTATGCTTATGTTTAGGAATCATGTTCTGTCTACAGAGGAAATACTATTAACTTCTTAAGTTACAGAAATAAAGTTTTGCATTTGGCATACAGAGGATTGGTTGATTTACTGAACTCAAAAGGAGCAAGTGTGACTGTATTTGGCTGAAGGAGTGTAGCAGTCTGCCCATGTAATAATAATAAATAAATAAATAATAAATTTTATTTATATACCGCCCATTGGTGACCCAATCCGGGTGGTTCACAACATTAAAATAATACAGCCTAATGTCCTCTGATGGGTCTCAAGTTCAAGGGAAGTGGGACTGCTCCTGTACATAGAATCATAAAATCATAGAGTTGGAAGAGACCCCAAGGGCCATCTAGTCCAACCCCCTGCCATGCAGGAACTCACAACCCAAGAACCTCAGACAGATGGCCATCCAGACTCTGTTTAAAGACCTCCAAAGAAGAAGACTCCACGACACTACCAGTGGAGAGAGGAGGGAGGTGTTTCAGTAGTGGAAGATATGGCTGCTCTTGGCTCCAAGGGGGAAAAGAAATGAGAGTGCACTCTGAGACGGGCTGTGCCCTCTTTTCCCATCTCCTTGAAGCTGAGACTAACAGCATCTTCCTAAGTTGCCTCCCCCTATTAAGCAGAAGCACCACCTGTCCATGACTTTACAGCTTTTTGGTGGAGTTGGATGGGATGCAAAGGGCTAGAAAAAAGCCCACCCCCCCTTTGCCCCATATTAAAAGAGACCTATTGATATGTACGTCATCAACAGATGCTGGCCATCTGTCAAGATCTATAAATACAAATGTTGATTTGCATAGGCATTCTGCCTTGTCCAACTAGATCCCTCAAAGTGTCTGTTAACATTTGTAGAATACTGTGGATGCACTGAGAATCGCTCACTTTATGGAGGAGAAATGTGTGGGCCTACAGCTGTTGTTGGACTGCAAGTCCCATTGCTTCTCACCTCCGATTATGCTAGCTAGGGCTGCTGGGAATTGCAGTCCAAAAACAGCTGAAGGGCAATGTGTCCCACTGATAAGCATCATTAGGGCCTCTCAAATGAGAGTCAGGAGTTGGGTAAAAACTCCGCATGCAGCTGCATTGCTCCTTCTCTACAGGACAGTTGAAGGCAGATAAGTCTTGTGTGGAGAAGATGGACTGGACCAGCCCAGCTGAAGTTGGCTTCTGTGCCTTCTGAGCTGCCTCTCTTGTTCTTTCATATGTTTCTTTATGTTGGATCCAAGCTCTGACTTCTGTGGACAGAGAGATTGAAATGAAGGTGTCTGCCTTAACTCTAGGCATTCCTTATTGCTCTGCACACTACTCACTCCTTTCAGCAAATTTCCTCAGGTCTCTGGATGTTGTTATTATTATGTTTATTTATATCCAGCTTTGCCCCCAAAGTTGGAACTCAAAGCAGCTTACAGTTTAAAATAATACAGTTAAAAACATACAAAAGTGAATTAACATTAAAATAGAATTATTTTAAAATTAAAGTTTAATTTAATTTAAAATTAATAGGACTGCATTTTTAAGGCTTGGAGGGAGTATTGCGAGATGGACAAGCCAAAAAATACTGCTTCTCCAGGCCAGTTGCACATCTCTGTCTGGATGCACCTGGTGGATGGAGACACACAAATATGACCACATGGATAAATACACTGAGGTTGGACCTTTATTAAAATGTGAATTGACTGAAGAACTGCCCTTGGCAATTCATTTTTGCAGTCAGTCTCAAGTTTCCACTTCTGCAAAATGGGAACCAGTCACCTGAATGTATACTTAAAATGCCATAGAGCATTTTGCCCATTAAAAGTTTGTTGTTGTTAAATGCCTTCAAGTCAACTTGGATTTACAGTGATCCTATCGATGGAGATTATCGCAGCACTAATTAAAGCGGCTTACCTGAGCCGGCTTAAAATTGAAAATGGGCGGCATCCTGATATCACAAGGATTTAGCCGCTGAAATTGTCGCTCAGGTCTATCCCCACTCCCAGGGCCGCTCAGCGCGACTTTTTTTGAAGCCAGGAGTTTTCTGGCTTAAGGAAATGGCTGCGGTGATTTCAGCGGCAAAAACCTTGTGATAACATCAGGATGCCGCCCATTTTAAATTTTAAGCCGGCTCAGGTAAGATGGTTTAATTAGCGCTGCGATAATCTCCATAGTGTTTTCTTGGTAAGATTTATTCAGAGGTTTGCTGTTGTCTTCCTCTAAGGCCGAGAGCGACTTTCACAATGTCACCTAGTAGGTTTCCATGACTGAACAGGGATTCAAATCTGTTTCCCAGTGTCCTTATCCAGCACTCAAGTCACTATACCATTGGGAATCAATTATTACAAAACTTAGTAGAATGAGAGAAGTCCTGACCTCTTTTCCTCTGAGCAA